ACCCAGCAGTTTTGATGGATTGGGCAGTTTTCTAGATATAGGTCTGTGACCTTTCTATCCCAGTTCTTATTTTTCTAACTTTTTCTTTTTTTACTACTTTGCCTATTCAAACAAAGCATTGTAATACGAACACTGATGGAGCATAGTGTATGAAAAGCTATGGATTATAGTTGTTTTAAAAGGTAATTCAGTATTGTTATATCTCATGGGTGGCTCTACATCTTAAGAAGACTAATTTAGCAGTTCTCAGATACAATTGTATGTTTTTCCCCTCCATTTTTTAAACAATTGCAGGATTTGGTGTTGTTATCTGATCTTTTGATATATTGGGATTTATTTTCTTTTAGGAGAACATAATAGTAGATTTAAAGTTGATTTCAGTAACATCACAATATATTAAAAATTGAAAGGGTCCGGTTTATATTTCATTTGCCGTATTAAAGAAGGCTGTAAATGTTTCTTTTGTGTCCACCAGGTCCATCACATCCCTGGATGAGGTAACCCATTCCAAATAAAATGGACAGTTTGAAAAGATGCTACCAGGCTCCTTTTAATTCTACATGACTTCCAGACTTCTTGTATGTTATCTAGAGAGCAGAATGAAGTACAATCTAAGACTAAAAGCTATTGTGTAGTTAAAGGAAGCTGGAAAACGTTATTTATTCATTTTTATCCTGATTCTCCCACTAAAATAGAAATTATCTGAAGCATTTTACGACTAAACTGTTCAACAAGAATTAAGCAATAATTTATTTTCTTCATTCAGTAAAGTCATTTCTCACAGGACTTTTTACATTTATTGACAATACCATTCACATCCCAAGAAACCAAGCCCGAGACATCATAATGGCAATCTGTAAAAAAAGACCAAAGAAAAATCTGGCCAATTATCATCCAATCAAACTTTTGAATATAATTAGCAAACTCTATGCCAAACATTTATTCAAAAACTTATATTACTGGACTGAATATGACTGTCCTATCTAAAGATGTAGAAGGATTTACGACCAGATCTACTATAAGATGCAGTGGTGGACTTCCAGTTGTGCTTCCGTCACGTCGGAGCGGAATCCACGATCATGCACAATTTTGCTCTGTGCTTGCTTGTTGGAGAGTCCGATCAGGACTAGAATCACTCTGGAGGGGTGGTGAAGAAAGGGGGGACCGCCTGGAGGGTTGAGGGGCACTGCATCTCCCCTCCCTGACAAGGTAAATCCCCTCTGAAGACAAGTTGCAGCGGTGGTCAAAAATGGCCACCATGAAGACGGGAGGCAGTCCAGGAAACTAAGACTGTGCTGGAGTGGTGAAGCTGTGAGCGGTGTGTAAACCAGGCAAAAAACATGGAAATTAAGTTACCCAGAATTAAGAAACAAAGAATTTTTTATGAAAGATTGTAGAAGTGGCGACCAAAGAGAGAGAGAGAGTGAAGGAAATTGGAAGCTTGTGAAATTGGCTTTGGACTTTGAAAATAATTAATTTGGAGGTGGAAAATTCAGGAACAAAAAGATTGGATTATAAAAGGCTTGGAAATTGAACTGGATAATTATTTGGATTTTGGCACTAATAGGCATAATTAAATGCTGGAATTAAATGTGTTAAAAAGAAATGATAACTAATAATTGGAATGAGCAAAAAGAATAACAGCTTTAAAAAAAGGAAAAAGTGGGACGTCAAAACAGAACTGAGACCGCCACCTAATGATAAACGAAAAATTTCAGTGATTCTTTGAAAAGTGCTTGGTCTTTTTAAAATGGGAATTTGAAAGGAAATAAAAGGAATTCCATTACAATAAAATAAAAACCCTGAAAAGTTAATTACTAGAATATTACAAGGAAAAAAAGATATGTGAAGAAATTGCCCTGGGATTATTTGGTGACTTTGGGAAAAAGTTGGGGAAAAAATTAACAGAAGAAACCTGGAAACAAGGACTTATGGACACTGACTGTTGAAATTAAATATAAAAGATGCTGGTTGTAATAATCTACTGGACAATTGGATTGGACATAAATATTAAAGAAAGGAGGAAAAGAAGAAGTAGTGTACAAAATGGGAGAATTGTGTGTGGAAATATAATTGGAACTACAAAATTTGAAAGAAATGATGAAAGAAAGCTTGGAAATGTGCAGTATTATACTACAAAAATTAGAAATGGCGATGCAGATTGAAGAACAAAGAGAACCAGAGGGGGAGGAGTTAAAAAAGGGGAAACCAGCCTTAAAGAACAAGTGGAACAACGAACATTAAAACAGGGGGGGGGGAGAATTAAAGCTAAAAACTTGAGGTTTGATGTGATAATTAAAAGGGGAATTGTTTGGAAAATTAACCAAAGGAAAAGGAAACAGCAGAAGAGGGAATTACAGCGGAAAAATCAAGAGAGGGAGGGGAATAAGATAAATAATTGAAATAAGAAATGGAGGGAAATAATAAAAGAAAAAAGGGGAATTAAGAGAAAGGACCAGAAAATGATGGGAAGCAGAAAGCAAACAAAAATGAAGAAGAAATTATATAGTCAGGAGGATGAGAGACAATGGGTAGAAGAACAGGAAAGGGGATTCTGCAAGGTAATGTGTGGTGATATATAAGAACATAGATTTAAAAATAGAAAATAATGGAACTGATATTTTTTTCTAAGAATTATTGTTAACCTAGATGTAGATTTAATTAAAATAGATATGGAAATGTGAATTTATTATAAGTATATTAATTGATATCTAATAAAGTGATAAATAAAGTTAAAATGAGCTATGATAATTGTAAATTCTAAAATTAATTGAATAGAATAATATTTTTGAAACAAATAGATGATTTAGAATGTAATTAAGCAAAAGAATACCATGCAGAATTTGATTTATATATTATATTATATTATATTATATTATATTATATTTATTATATTATATTATATTATATTATATTATATTATATTATATTATATTATATTATATTATATTATATTATATTA